AGTGTTAAGTTTGATCATTAGAGTTTTAATAAAAACAAGTTCATTAAAAAGTGTGTACATTATTTGTATTTCATCAAAATGTGACATTATTGGTAGGGGTGAATACTTTTGCAAGGCACTGTATATGTAGAAATTTTAGATATGTTCGTCAATCATTTCATTAATACTCATAGAGTGAGTCGTTGTGTTTATCTATTTTTAATTAAACTGCTCATCCTAGTGGCCGTCTCTCTATAATACCCCATTAAAACAATTTCATAATTTTACTCTAAAATCTGTTAAAATTCTTAGCAGTTGAAAACAAATATGCGATAATTTGTACAAACTATCAACAGTAACTATAAATCTCTAAATGACTTGAGTGAATTAATGATGACGTCATTTTCAGTTGAGATTGTCATCTTTGGACTTTTACGTAAAAAAAGGAACTAAATAGGCACTGGGTTTCCAACAGATAAATTCATTAATAACTCTTCACGGTATTACGAACATTTTAAACTTAATTTCGGTGTTATTGAGCGATAGAAGTAACCAAATGATTAACTTGAGTTCGTTTTTATTATTATTATATACAATTACTGAGGCTAGTATATCTGTAAATGTTATTGAAAGTTTTGAAACTCCAGCTTCAATACATTTTCAATAATATTGCTGAATTTTAATCATCCATTATCGTTGGACTCAGACAAACAATCATTATAGTCAGTCAGCTTTATTTTTGTTATTTCATGATTTACAGAAAATTATTTTGGAAAACAAAACAAATTGGAACTAGATTATAAAAAAGTTTGTTTTTGGAGATCGTCCAGTTTTCCGATTTTTACATACAGGCTTAAACATTCGGTGGAGATTCCAAAGACTGCTCATACTTTTTTCAGTAAACGTTGATAACGTTTTTTCTTCCAAATATCGAACAGAGTTTCCCCAACCAAACACCAGAGAGCCGCCCATAGACCCGCCAGAAGAATGATGAAAGGCAGCACTACCTGGTGGAGATCCAAACTGATGTATGTAGACGAAACCAACCGGCAATCTGATAACCGAGGCCACCATTTCTGTTTTAAATATCGGAGAATTCCAGCTTCGTACATTTGTAGAAGTCTGTGAAAAAAGTAAAAGGTAACTATTTGTCTTTTAACGTCTGGAAAACCAACTTTATTATCACAACAATTATATATGCTGAAGTGAATGTAGCCTCGGCTAGATGTCGCAGCTGAGATCATACTGTTACAAAGACTTGTTATGTACGTGTTGTCTTTCAATAAAAGTATCAATGAATAACCTTATAACAAGTTTACTTATACCGTATTACAAGTGTATTGTTTGTCGTTACATTTAAAATATTCAATAAATTGCAAGAAGTTACTAAACATCTATATGAGTACCCTTCAAAATATGTAGGTTTTCTTTTTTCTCGCTATGAAATCTGATCGTTTCATAATTAACAGTTATTCACATTAGGCCTACAGTGTTTAATAATACTATCCATCTGTAAGATGTAACATACGCTTTGTCCATAGCTTGTCTGAATGGAAAGTTCTTCCTAACCGGAAGATGATACCCGGAAGGAAGTATGGTCTCGGTGCTTTGTCTTAATTCACAATTATCTCCCATTAAGTAACGCAGGACAAGCTCATCACCCAAGTAGGCAAAAGAGTCGTATTCGACAACATTCTGAACACCCTGTTCTTCGTTGTCAGTATAGGCTAGGTCCGACGGAAAACTGGTGAGTTGTTCATAAAACTTTGGCAAAGTTTCCTAGCAAGAGATCACAAATAAGATCATAAATTAAATTAGCTCTGTTTTAGTTTCGAATAAATATTTGATGAAAAAAAAACAGTTATAAACAATTAATTACTGGAATTCGGATCTTTCACATTTTCTTACACTAGTATATTCGTCAGTATCCTTTTTGTGGTTTCTTCTAATAAACGAGGGTTTGTAACCGGCCATCTTTGTTCAAATGATTACGTCTGATTTTTAAATGTAAGCTTAGTCCAGTTCATTGTTATTAAAAATAAAAATTTCAGATAGTATGTAGAGATACGAAACTTTGTACAACGTTAACTCGAATAAACACACTTCACGATAGAGATACAAAAACTGTACAACGTCAAATTAGGTTAAAAATACGTTGCGGTAGAAATACGAAACACTGTACAACGTCAAACTAGATTAAACACACGTCACGGTAGAGATACGAAACACTGTACAACGTTAAACAGGATTAAACACACGTCACGGTAGATATACGAAACACTGTACAACGTTAACTGTATTAAACACACTTCTCGGTAGAGATACGAAACACTGTACAACGTTAAACTGGATTAAGCACTACAACGTCAAACTGGATTAAACACACGTTACGGTAGAAATACGAAACATTGTACAAAGTTAAACTGGATTAAACACTGTACAAAGTTAGCTGTATTAAACATAATAACGTTAACTGTGTTAAACACTGTACAACGTTAACTGTATTAAACACTGTACAACGTTAACTGTATTAAACACTGTACAACGTTAACTGTGTTAAACACTGTACAACGTTAACTGTATTAAACACTGTACAACGTTAACTGTATTAAACACTCTATAACGTTAACTGTGTTAAACACTGTACAACGTTAACTGTATTAAACACTGTACAACGTTAACTGTATTAAACACTGTACAACGTTAACTGTGTTAAACACTGTACAACGTTAACTGTATTAAACACTGTACAACGTTA